CGGGCCCCCCCCCCCCAGCACCCACAGCCTACACACCGGATAATGCCGACGGCTTCACTGTGCTGCCGGTCCCTGCGTCGGGGTCTCCCAGCACAAACTTGGGTCTCTCCGGCTTGGAGGATGCCACGCAAGGGCTTTCATCCTCCGAGGAGAAGGCAAACTTGGGCATGGTGTCAAGGCTGTAGGTGCTGGGTAGCGCGGCAGGGCTGCGGCTTCGCTCGTGCCGGGAGGTGAATGGCGTGGAGCTGCAGGACGTCCAGGAGCGGAGCCTGCGTGGGGAGAGCAGGAGGGCTCGGGACAACCAAAGATGGGCGAAGGGGATGGCACCGAGCCACTGCAGCACCCCAGGACACGGCCCACCGACACCTCTGCGAACCCTCGGTGCTGGTACAAACCCTCAGCGCCGGCACCAACCCTCGGCACTGGCACAAACCCACATCAGCGTTGCATCCCCCGTCTCAGCACGCACCGGGGCTCTGTGCCCGACAGCCGGCTCCTGTCCTCGTCTCCCGAGTGCCTGTCCCATCGCTCCTCTTTGTCCTCGCTGTGACTCCGATCAGAGGACGAGAGGCTGAGGTTGGAGTGAGCCGCCAGGAATTCGGAGCTGCTGTACACCTGAGGAGGAGATGAGCCGTCAGCAAGGAGCAGAAATTTGGGAATCCAGGTGCTCCAGCGTCCACCAGGACACCGATGCTCGGCACAACCAAGCCAGCCATGGCACCCATCATTTTGGATGAGGAGAGGTGCCAGAGGAGGGATTAGAGCACCTTGCTGAAGCGATGGGAGCAGGAGGAGAACTGCCCGATCTCCACGGACGATTCCTCGTCGTTGGTTTCTTCATCCTCCGAATCCAAGTGGCGGTACCTCTCGGAGCGAGCTGAAACCAAGAGCCAGAGCAGGCAGGGCTGACACCCTGCCTGCGACACACGGCGTCCTGCCTGCCCGCACGGCCCCGGTGGGACCTGCAGCCACAGGGAGCTCTATTGTGGCTGACAGCCCGGTCCCAAATCCCAGGGAAGTCTGGGGGTGAGAAATTAAGGGGTTTGGTAAGGCTGAGCAGCCTGGAAAAAGGATTGCATCTGTTTCGCGGCTTTGGTTGTAAAGCGACCGACTTCACCCAGGAGATCTTCATTTCCCACAGGAGCATCCGACCTGCAGCTGGGATAACGGATTGGCAGAGGCAGGGGAAAAGGGGATGGATTTGGCCTCACTGTCGAAGTAGCTGGTGTCGTCCTCTGACTCCAGCTGGGGGATGAACTCAGCCTTCTGCCGCAGCAGCCCGTTCCAGTCCAGGTGGAGGAAGAAGGAATGGTGCTTCACCTCGTGCGCACCCCCTGCCAGGCAGAGAAACCCGCGTCAGGGGGACGGGGCGGGATCCAGGATGCTCCTGCTTCCATCCCAAACGGCATGGTCTCTCCTCCATGCAGAGCAAATGGCTTAAAATCGGACGGATCAGATCCCCATGCTGCCTTCCCGGGGTGAACCCCAAGCAGGGGACCTCCTCCGAGCATCCTAAACGTGGCAGGACACGCTTTGGTTTCAGAAAATGGCTTGACGTGAATTAGGGTGCCAGGTCACCCCCCGAGCGCTGTGCGGGGGCTGCCACGCGTACCGGTGCCCAAGCGCTCGAGGGGACACTGTCTCAGCAACCGTGTGATCAGGTCCTGGGCGTCCGCGGGAAGAGCCTCGTCCCCTTCCGGCCACATAATTTCATCTGCAAGGAAAAAGGAAAAGGAGTTTGGAGTGGCTGGAAGACGGCGCTGGGACACAACGGGGGCTGTGACGATGCGAGGTCACAGGATAAGTCACTTCTGAGCAAGAGGAAAGTCCCCCAGGAGCCGCAGCAGATGAAAGCACCCTCCCAAACTGGGAAATCAAAGCTTGAGGAGCCTCCTGGCTGTTCAACCGAGTATGAAATGAAGGAACGAAGCTCTCCACATGTTAAGGACGAGCCATGAACTGCTGGGAAGAGCGAACCGAGGAGCAAAGTTGCCACCAACACTCACCGCTGGTGACCTGCCCGAAGAGCTCCTCAGGGGTGTCTCCGAAGAAGGGGACGCAGCCCACCAGGAACTCGTAGAGGATGATGCCCATGGCCCACCAGTCGACGGGCTTCCCGTAGCCCTGTATGAGGATGACTTCTGGGGCGATGTACTCTGGAGTGCCACACACCTGCGTGGGAAGCAGCAGCTGACACCTCTGCAATGACCTTTGCAACAAGTCCCAAGGCTCTCCTGGTCCCTGGCGATGGCAGATAGGCCAAGCGGAGCAGGACCTCCTACCTGCTTGTCCACGAACTCCCGAGTGTCCTTCTCCATATGCCCTTCGTAGAGGTTTGTGGTCATGTTCATCAAGCCGATCTTTGACAGACCGAAGTCTGTCAGCTTTATGTGGCCCATGGAGGTGATGAGCAAACTGCAAGAGAAGACAGATGCCCCGCGATGATGCCGTTTGCTTCTGGGGAGACCTGGGCAGGACCAGCCGGACCCCAAGACCTCTGGTCCTGGTGCAACGGCAAAGAACCAGGTCTTTGGGCATCAAAACCCATGACCTCATTCTGCCTTACCCTCTTGGCTTGGATCAGTCCCTCTCCCATTCCCACCCAAACCCAACCCCGTCCTTGTTCAGACCTGACCCACGTCCTCACTTGTCGGGTTTGAGGTCCCGGTGGACGATGCCGTAGTTGTGGAGATACTCCAGCGCGAGAACAGTCTCGGCGAAGTACATCTTCGCCATGTCGACGGGCAGTGGGCCCATGTTCTTCAGCAACGTGGCGCAATCCCCTCCTGCGGGGACACGGGTCCTCCTGAGCATGGGGAGCTCAGAGAAGGCAGGGAGGTCAGTGGGCAGGGCTATGCTGCCTCTCCTGCCAGGCAGGCTCCCAGCCAGACCCTCCCGTCCCTCCGTGGAGCGGCGCTGATCCCTGGGCATGGGGCACAAACACTCTCCTAGGTGAGCACGGCCACCACCCTCATCAAGGTGACACTCAGGATCACCAAAGCATCTCCTCATGCTTCCCTCCGCTCCCTGGAGCAAAGCAGGGCAGATGTCCAGGTGGTGTCCTCAGTGCTCAGACATTGATATTGCCCCCTCCCTCCAGCCCCGAATCCCGCTCTCACCTTCCACGTACTCCATCACCATGCAGAGATGTCGCTTTGTCTCGAAGGAGCAGAACATGCTGACCACGAAGGGGTTCTCCGCGAAGGTGAGGATGTCCCTCTCCACGAACACCTGCTGGATCTGGTTCCTCAGGATGAGGTTCTGCTTGTTGATTTTCTTCAAGGCGAAGCGCTGCCGTGTCTCCCTGTGCCTCACCAGGTACACGGCCCTAGGAGAGAGCAAAATGGCTGGACCTCAAAACATGTCCTCCAACCACCAGGACCGACCACGCAGCACTACGGGGCTTGGACAGGGAGGACTTTGGAGACGTTTACAGACGGAGACAAGTGTTAGGAACTTCACAACTCACCCGTAAGCCCCATTGCTGATCAGCTTGATGGTCTCAAAGTCCCCTTCGCAGGGCTTCCTCCGAGGAGCAGTGGCTGAAGGCTGGCTCTGAAGAAGACATGGAAGGTTTTTAATGTTTCCCAGCGTGCCGGTGCTCTGAGTGCAGGCAGGAATTCACTGAGCACCATCACCTATCACCTCCGAGTGCTCCTGGCTGCCAGAGGACATCCCTCCCTGAGCCCTCTTTGGCCACAAACCCCAAACCAGAAGACCAAGATGCTCTGCAGATCAAGAGCCCACTCTGAGCTCTGTCCACTCAAGACGCCAGTTGAGGGACTGTGAGATATTACACCTCAATACAGCAGTCACCCTTGGGGACAAACCAAATTAACATCTCCCAGCCTAAGATAGCAGAGGAGTTGCTGCAAGGAGCTTTGGTGTGGGGTGAGGCAGGACGAAGCTGGAGGCAGCAGGTGGGACACGCAGGTAGGACCACACGCACCTCACAGGCGTCATCATTCTCCGGCGTGATGGTGTTCCCGCTGTCGAAGTGATCCAGCTGGACCATTTCTGCAGAAGACAGAGATGGTTTTCACCTTCTTCATGCTTAACCCCCACCAAAATAAGCCCCACCAACCACTTTCCCTCCAAACTGGGAGATCCCGCGGGGATTTAGCCACACGCTTTGCTTGAGCTATTGTATGGAGAAATTCAGGTCATGGCGTTAAGAGGTTCAACACGAGGTTAAACACTTATATAATTCCCTTTTTTCCACAGTCATTCCCGTGTTCTTCAGGGATTATGGTTCCCCCCCACGTCCATGGCTTCCTATGGATTAAGCGTTCTTGAGCTTAATCTGCTTTGCTGAACATGTTGGGAGCAGTAACGAGGGATGTGGGGCTGGCCGGGAGACTTGGACACTGTCCTGGTCCTGCTGTGACCCACCCCGTGACACCAGCTCAGCCCTGCTGGTCCCCCTGCCACCTCCCAGTGCTCGTTCACACTTGCCGGTGGCCAAACTGGGAGTCCACATCCCGCTGCAGACCTCGGGGCCACCAACCCAAGCGGTTCCCTACCCTCCAGCGGGTCCTTGACGAGCCCCAGTTGGCTGATGATGTATCGGGGAATATCGGTCTTTATTCCCTGGCCAACTTTGGCGTGTCCTTCTGCAGCCTCCAGGAGATGGTAAAACTCCTCCGGGTCAAACTCCTGGACGGGGAAAACCAAGAACAGTTGAGGAGCGAGACTTTGCGAAGTTAAGCCTTTCCTCTAAGCCTTGCAGGTGACATCTGTAATTGGGGACGGGCTCTGGGTGCTTGCAGGAGAAAGCTAAATGCTCTGCTGCTGTTTCTACCATCGTTCCCAATGTCAAGGGTTGATGGAACAAAATGAAGCCCCATGAGCCCCCTCCTTCCAGCTGCAGGAACCACAGCACAAAGGCGAGTGCTTTAGAAATTCAGCACAACAGCTAAAAAAAAAAAACCCTGAAAATGGATGAGGAAGCTTGCCGGGAAGTTCACATCTCCCTACTCAGCTATGAAAAACCAGCTTCTCCCCTCCGAGAATTGGCTTTAATGCAAGGACTGGTCTTAGCTCCTTGCTACGGCCAGGCCAGGATGGTGAGGAGCAGCGGTTCCCGTGGTGGACCAGGCAAGGTGGTGATCAGATGCCTTGTCTTTCATGGTCCGCGCCTGCCCGGAAAGGAGGTGGGCGTGGACCATGAAAGGCAAGACACATCAGGAGCTGCCACATCTTACCAGGCACTCCAGAAGGCGAGCAGGACGGGAGATGATGATCAGCAGCTTCCTCACCAGTTGGTCGATGAACTTCACCTCCTCGCTCTCCGAACGCTCCTGAGCCTGCCAGCGAGGAGACAGAAGCCAGGCATCTATCGGTGGCCTCAGGAGATGACACTGGGCAGGGAACTGCCCCGTACTCACATCTCGGAGCATCTTCTCGAGTTTTTCCTGCAGCTCCATGAAGTAGCGGGAGGTGATGAGAGCTCCCTGGGACTTTGCCAGGCAGTCGCGGGCCAACTCGATGATCTGGTGGTGGATGAAGCCCAGCACCCCGTCTGCCAGCGGCAGGGTGCTGCTTGGAGAGAAGTTTGTGATGGTGTCCTGCAGACGATGGGCTGTGGCCTGCAAGGCAGAATGGATGGTGATGTCTGGGAACGCGTGCCCCCATACCATGCCTTGGGTTTGGCCAGCCGAAATCTCATACTACCACCTCCTGCGTTGGGTTTGGCCAGCCAGGATCTCATGCTACCACCTCCCACAGCTCCAATATCCACGTGCACATCCTGGTCCCACCTGGGAGCCAGCTTCCAGCAGGCTGGAAAAGCTCCACCAAAGTCTCCAGAGACCTCTGCCTGCATGTGTGATGATGCAGACCCGCAGGTCCCTTGCCTCCCCGGTTCATGACCATGTCTCCAGCGTCCTCCAACACTCCCTGGTATATCTACCCATGCTTTCTATATTCCAGTACAGAGAAGAGGTTGCTCTGGAGAAGATGCTGTCAGGATGCTGTGGAGGCAGTAACGTGCTCGTCCTCCCCAGTCCCAGCAGTTACCTTGGGGAACCGCTCCTTGTAGACATGGTTCATCATCACAACCTCGTTATCAAACGTTCCACTCGTCCGTCCAGGGCTGCGGAGGGAGGAAACCAGTTGTGTTATGAGGTCCAAGTCATTTACATCTATGCAATAGCTACTACCCCTGGAGAGCAATTTGCTCCCCCCTCCTAACTCCCGATCCCAAGCGGTTAAAGCTCATCCGAGCGGAACCATCAACCTTGGGCCAGCACTTCCAGCAGCATCCCTCCCACCGTGCATGGATCTGAAGGTCCCTGGGACCTGGTCCAGGGAAGGTTAACCTCCCACAGACCCAGGTCTCCAAACTCAAGTCACTTGAAAATCCAGAGCTGAGAGGCTGGTGCATCAGTCACTTGGCTTTGAAGAGCGAGCGCATCCTTTCCTTCCTCTGGATCCCGCAATTTCTCAACCGTCGTTGCCCTTTTTGCAGCTCACCAGCAAATAAAACCCCAACCAAACCCCGTGGTGGACACAGGGACCTTCATTAAACAAGGCTTCTCTCTTACCCTCACCCGACTTTGCCTCTCTCAGGCCCCTGCCTGGTGATCCTGTTATGCAAAGCAAGTCGTAGGAGCAGCCAGAAACTCATTAACCGTTATACAATAAATGTGGCGATTAAAACCAGACCGAAGCCACTCGCTGCCAGCCCCAGCCCAGCCCCAGCCCAGCCTTTGCCGTGCCGTGCCGACCGCAGAGCTGGCATCTCCTCGATGAAAACCTCACCACCTACAGAACCCTGTCAGATAATTAATCTGATTTTAATGAAATTTCAGCCGGCAACACGCAGGGGTATGGGTCTGCCTCCGGTGCAAAGAGGGTCTGGAGCTTTTTCAGTGGGAAAAGAGGATTTAACCGAAACATCCCCTGTAAAAAGCACAAGCTCCTGGTGCTGGACAAGCGGAAACGTGACCGGTTCCTTGCGTGGGACACGGTCTTGGAGCAGCAACGCGGAGCTCAGCAGGTCCGTAGGGTCAGCTCGCACAATGCTATGGCCACTGGCTTGATGCTCTCTCCAAATTTTCCTCTCTCCAGCCCACAAATGCCTGTCCACCTGCGCTCCTTGTGTTTTGCAGAGGCAAAGGCCAGGCTGATGCTCAGCCCCAGCAAACGCAGGTGATGTTTCCCCACCCAAGCCCAGAAATGGGATTTTTTTAACCTTTTAATGGCAGGTCAGGCCAGTGGCCTCCCAGCCGTGCCCTGCAAGGACGGCCACCGCTTCTGCTCGGTGGTCCCCTTCTCTCCACCAGAACCTTTGAGACAATTGAGCAAGAAGCTGCGAGCCAACTATTTTGGAACAAATCTCACTTTCTCCAGCTTCAGCCCCAGGAAACCTCACTCTCAGGTGTTGTCTGCTGCCAAGAGAGCCATGTTACATCCCGACAGCCGAGAAGATGCTGAGAACCAGACCCTAATGCCCAAAATCATGGAGTTTAGGATCGTAGAATCATAGACTCATGGAATGGTTTGGGTTGGAAGGGACCTCTCAAGGCCATCTAGTCCAACCCCCCTGCCGTGGGCAGGGACATCTTCAACTAGATCAGGTTGTTCAGAGCCCCGTCCAGCCTGACCTTGAATATTTCCCGGGACGGGGCATCTACAACCTCAAGCCATAGCTTCTCCACTCCCCTGCAAGGGGAAAACCCGTATCGGGGTCAGCACCTTGGGACGGGCTTAGCAGGAGCAGGACATCCCAGGAACAGCTCACGAGAGGGCAGAGGATGCGCCGGATGTGCCGGCACCCGGTGCATCATCCCGGCGGCACCGTGGGTACTCCCACGGCGGTGGGTGCCGTACCTGAGGCTCCTGGATCGTGGGCGCAGGCAGGGCGAGTGCCGCCCCTCCTCGTCCATGACGCTCTCCGTACTGCGGAAATGCTTAGAAAGGAAATGCAGCTCATCGGGGGTGGGCTGGTACGGCAGCTGGTGAGGGCGCTCCTGGGAGGACGAAGACGACTGTAAAGAAGGACAGACACGGGGGGGATCAGGAGATGGATCCGCGCTTTCCGGCCGCGGGGTGGAAACCAGCAAGCCCACGGGGAAAATATTCCTCGAAGCCTTTTAGGAGGCTGGAAACGCTGATGGGCAGCATGCTCTGTGCTCGATAACGTGAAATACGGACGGCAAGGCCAGCCCGGGGAGGTCTGCGCTGCCCACTCCCACCCCAAACTTCCCGCTCTCCCACTCAACCCGGCTCCGCTGCCCCCCCCC